TGAGCACATTAGTGCTCTACAATTAAAGAAAATTTAATGATAGCAAAATATGTTCTTCATTTCAAACTATTCTTAGAGTCACCACCCTCCCTCTCTCCTTAAGCCTGAATCAAAGATCAAAATCGGTCTATACACTAGAACAACAATTCTCAAAGTTTGGTGTTTGGACCAGCAGCAGTATTTCCAAGAAACTTGTCAGATACACAGATTTTCAGGTGCCACTTCAGACCTACTGAATCAGAAACTCTGAGCATGGGGCCCAACAATCTGTGTTTTAAAAAGCCCTCCAGGTTATGATGATGCATGCTAAAGTTTCAGAATCACTGTACTAGAAAGTCCCAAAAAAGAAAAAAAAAATAGAAAGTTAGTCCTATACTACATACCTCAAATTTAAGAAATAATACACATAATTAGAGAAATAAATGATTACAAATAACTATTGGCTGGGAGAATATTCTGTTAAGTGATATCTGGTATAACTACATAGTCACTTTTGAAAAGTATGCATAATCTATATATACGAACAACTCCAAACTTTTAGATAAGATTTGTTAAAGAAATTTAACTGTAAATACAGTATTTGGAATTAAGGTCACATTCACCCTTTAGAAGCAATCTTATAAATCCTAGTTGAATTCCAAACTAGACAACAAAAGCCTTTTAAACCTATAAACACAACAAATGATTTGTCATAGTAAAAAATTTTATGGGCAAAAATGAACCAAAATTCTAGCTCAGATCATTGGAAAGATTCACTCTTCTACCACAACCCTAGTAATGAGAAAATACAGATTTCTTCTCACACTAGCCCCCAGTGGTCTATTTTGACATTTTTCTCTTCCCTTTTGCTCTTCTACCTCTGCAAGAATAAATTGGAGTTGGGGTAAGAACCATGCACAACTAGGACAGAATGGAGAAGGGGGTAGGAGTGACAGCTCTAGCAACTATTTATCTTGCATGTTTATGTATAGGACTTCCATTGGATGTTTGGTCTCCTGCTTACAAGTTTGATACTTACAAACTAAACACATTTCAATTAAAAACAACAGCATTAGGTGGGTAGAAATATGATGAGAATCAGGCTATTTACTTAGTCTCAAAGTATGTCCTCCACAAGATACATAGTAACTGTATAGTGGAGAAACCTGGCAGAGAAGACAATTAATAAAGTTAACATCACCAATAATGGAACAAACTGACTTCATGTGCCTCCTGATAAGATGCTGGGAAAACACAACCCTTTTGGTCTTTGAGCAGGCACTAGTTAATATGGTTCATCCTTTTCAGATAATAAGGATCAAGATAGTAAAACACTGTTATACTTCCATTTTACTTTTTTTTTAATTTTTATTGATACAAATATTTGTACCTGTTACATGTACATGTACATGTGATATTTTGTTACAAGCAATCCCACTACTGGGTAGTTATTCATAGGAAAAGAAATAAGCACATCAAAGGGATACCTGCACTCCCATGTTTCCTGCAGAACTATTCACAAGAGCCAAGATATGGACTAAACCTAAGTGCCCATCAACAGACAAATGGATAAACAAATGTGGTATATATACACTAGGGAATACTATTTGGCTATTAAAAAAAAGAACGAGATTACATCATTTTGCTGCAACATGGATAAAACTGGACATTATGTTAAGTAAAATAATCCAGGCACAGAAAGACAAATATTGCATATTCTCACTCATATGTGGAAACTAAAAAAGTTGATCTCATGGAGGTAAAGAACAGAATGATAGATACCAGAGGCTGGGAAGGGTGGGGTGGGGGAGGCAGAGGTTGGTTAATGGGTACAAATACACAATTAAACAGAAGGAATAAGTTCTTACGTTCAATAGCAGGGTGACTACAGTTAACAACAATGTATGTTTCAAAATAACTAAAAGAGAGGACTTGAAATGTTCTCAACATATAGAAATGAAAAGTTTCCTTTTTATATGTTATATAATAAATGATATAGTAATAATTAACAACAAATTTATTTAGAGTACCTTTACACCATGTAAATTTGCAAACATTAAAAACAATGTATTAGGCCGGGCACGGTGGCTCACGCTTGTAATCCTAGCACTCTGGGAGGCCGAGGCGGGCGAATTGCTCAAGGTCAGGAGTTCAAAACCAGCCTGAGCGAGACCCCGTCTCTACTATAAAAATAGAAAGAAATTAATTGGCCAACTAATATATATATATATATATATATATATATATAAATTAGCCGGGCATAGTGGCTTGTGCCTGTAGTCCCAGCTACTCGGGAGGCTGAGGCAGGAGGATCACTTGAGCCCAGGAGTTTGAGGTTGCTGTGAGCTAGGCTGACGCTACGGCACTCACTCTAGCCTAGGCAAGAAAGCGAGACTCTGTCTCAAAAAAAAAAAAACCAAAAAAACAAAACAAAACAAAAAAAGCCATGTATTAGCCAAGTATTAAAAGTCAAGTCAAATATTTCAGGTGTCAAAGGATTAATATACAACTGTTAATTTTTCTATACAGTCACTATTATCTACAATTAAAATTAGATACATTCGCCAAACACTGGAAACACCTGCATTTGTGCTTATAACAATTTCTAGATGTTCTTTTGGTTGTCTTATTTTACAACTGAAAAGAAATCATGTATTCTTTTCAGCTTCAAGAACCTGGGCTGGGCAAAGATTTCTTAGAGCACAAAAAGCAAACTATAAAAGAGAAATACTGCTAAATTGGAATTAATCAAAATTTAAAATTTTTGCTTTCTAAAAGGCAATTTACAAAATGAGAAGGCAAACCAGACTAAAATAGAATTTCAAAATCATATATTCTCGCCTATAATCCTAGCACTCTGGGAGGCCAAGGCGGGCAGATCGCTCAAGGTCAGGAGTTCAAAACCAGCCTGAGCAAGAGTGAGACTCCGTCTCTACTAAAAATAGAAAGAAATTAATTGGCCAACTAAAAATATATAGAAAAAATTAGCTGGGCATGGTGGCGCATGCCTGTAGTCCCAGCTACTCAGGAGGCTGAGGCAGTAGGATTGCTTGAGCCCAGGAGTTGGAGGTTGCTGTGAGCTAGGTAGATGCCACAGCACTCTAGCCTGGGCAACAGAGTGAGACTCTAACTCAAAAAAAAAAAAATCATATATCTGATAAGGCCTTATATTCAAAATATATAAAGAATTCTTACATCTCAGTAATAAAAAGATAATCCAATTTAAAAATGAACAAGAGATATGAACAGACACTTCAGTAAAGATGACTATAAATGGCAAATAAAAATGATGTTCAACATCACTAGCCATCAGAGAAACAAAACTAAATGCACAATGAGATACCACTACATACCCACTAGAATGACTAAAAGCAATTGGAATTCTCATACAATTTCTCCCTGGAATGCACAATGGTAGACACTTTGGAACATTTTGGCAATCTTCTAAAGGTAAACATACACACTTACTCATGTGACCCAATAATCCCACTCCTGAGGACATAAAAAAACACATGCCCCCTAAAAGGCTTATACAAGAATATTCAAAGCATCTTTATTTATAATAGCCCTAAAGTAGAAACAACCCAAATGCCAACTGGTAGATGGATAAACAAACTCTAGTATGTCTATATAATAAAATATTACTCAGCAATAAAAAAAAAACCCTACTGACACACACAACTTAGATGAATCACAATAGCTTAAGTAGAAGAAACTGGAGAGAAAAGAGTATATAGTATATAATTTCATTTATATGAAGTTCTAGAAAAAGCAAAACTAGAGTGACAGAAAGCCTATCAGAGGTTGCCAGGAACTAGCAAAGGAGGAAGGGAAATGACTGCAACAGGGCAAAAGGAAACTTTCTGACGTGGATGAAAATATTCTATATCATGATTGTGGTGGTGGACATAACTATACACATTTTCAAAACTAATCAAATTATACACGTAAAATTGTAGATGTTTACTGTATGTAAATGATACCTCAAAGCTGGTTTTAAGAACAAAAAAGTAGCATAGATGGTTGTGCATAGTGCAGTGACTAGAATGGAATATGAGGGAGATCATAGATTCCTGGTGCTGTTCTGTTTCTTGATTTTGGTGGTCGATATATGAGTGTTTAGTTTGAGAAAAATCATTGAGCTACATTTTTCTGTAAATGTGTTTTATTTCAATAAAAAACTCACTTAAAAAATAAAAGAATCAGTCCTCAACAGCCTGAAGTTGAAGAGACTTTACACAAATAACATTAAAGATTCAAAACTATAGCCAAGAAAATGAGTAGAAGACAAATAAAGGAAAAGAATACTAAGTAACCACTAATTTTAAGGGAATTCAAAAAGCAGCTACTTTTCCAAAGCTTATTCTCCTGTGTGGAGGACTTGACTAATAATGTAGGCTAGATTTGGGTTATATATACAGTCATGCACTGCATAACGATGTTTTGGTCAAACACAGACTGCATATATGACAGTGGTTCCTTAAGATTATAATGGTAGTGAAAAATTCCTATCAACTAGTGACATAAACATTATAGTGCAATGCATTACCTTTTCTATGTTTAGATATGTTCAGATATACAAATACTTAGCATTGTGTTACAATTGCCTACAGTATTCAGTACAGTAACATGCTGTACAGGTTTGTAGCCGAGAAGCAATAGGCTATATACCATTATAGCCTAGGTATATAGTAGACTATACCACTTAGGTCTGTATAATTATATTGTATGATGATCACACAACAAAGTTGCCTAAAGACACATTTCTCACTTGTCATTAAGCAACGAGAGAGAGAGAGAGAGAGAGAGAGAGAGAGAGAGAGAGAGAGAATGAATATGAATGTGTATATGTATCCATGGTTAGAACACAATGGATTTTCCACAAACCTCACTCGGCATAACCTTTTCTTAAATTACGTTCATATTTATGTTTCTAGAGATACTGATAGATAACACAAGTATACTCAGAACATTTTCATTTCAAAAGTTAGTTTTCTGCTAGGAAGGAAAGTCTTACTAACCTCCTTCATAAATGACTTGCCTATGCGCACCACTTTTGCAAATAAAATGGGATCGTGAGAAAGGTGAGGACCAAGGTAACAGAACATATTGAACACATCTCTCCTCAAATCTTCAAAGCTCTCTGCTTGTTTGGGAGCTCGCTTGTTTTGTAAAGCATTAACAGGTGAGCCTTTAGCACCTTTAGGAACGCCAACTCTATAAAAAGAAGTAAAATTTATAAATACACTACACAATACCTATAATTTTAAATTAACACAGTCATCTTAACAAGTTAAGTTAAACTTTTCTTGCTCATATTTGCTTTCTATATTTTATTCTTGCCTAATTGTATTAAATCAGATAAATCTCGATTGTTAGAAAAACACAAAAACGATATTCATTAGAAAAAAAATCAGCTCAGAGGAAATTGTTCCAAATTTATCTGCTTAAGAAAAAGAAATCACAGAAGTGCAGATTTCAAGTAACATTAAACACACATTATATGTGTTTGTTTTTAAACTTGGCCAGCATCAGGAATATAGATATGGGGATGGGGAACAAGGGATGGAGACACTGGCAGAGACACTGGCAGATGAAACAGAAAAACATGGACGTAACAACACTGATTCTAGTCAATCAACATTTCTCAATCTGGTTTCCACTACTTGACTGAACATGAGGAGGTGGTGGTAGGGATGGTAAACCACATAATGAAAGAGGGTGTAACACTAAAAAGGACAGCATGCCCAGAGTTCTCATCTGCTGAGCAGGTGTCCCACTGTGGAGTCACAGGGGTCACTCTCTGTGAAGAAGCCTTCGTGGTCCACAGCCCAGGTGGCACTGAAGGCATCAGCCAGTAGCTATGCACAAGTCACAAGGCGGGGGCTTTTGAGGCAGGCTCTGATCTGTGGGGCTGAAGCCAGAGCTGCTGCCAATACTGTTCCTAGGTATCCTATAAGTAGGCTGAGGGCTAGAGGACTGGTTGACACAGTAACTAGGGATGATGAAAGAGGCTGCACTAGTAATTTCCAGAACAGCAGCCTTATATGCCAGGAGAGATAAGGCAAGCAGAAAAGTAAAGTGCTCACTCAGAGCCACTCAACTCAGGATAAAGAAAAATTGCTCCAAGTAAAAACCTCAAGAATTCTCTGTCCCCCAAGAGAGGAGAAAAAGTCAAACATAGAAAAAATGGAGTTTTCATTCTCCATGGAGCCAATCCAAACCAGAAGTCTAACCTATAGTTTTAAGACTAAACTGTAGCACGTGTCCTAGAACACCCAGTCTAGATGTTAGAAGACAAGTCACTGATTAATATATATCAGACAGATACACTCTGTGAATTGTTCTTTTATTTTGATAAAACATACTGAAATATATGCTTGGTTTGAAGAGACAAGATAAATATACATACAGATTTTTGTTTGTAGTCCTAAACTATTTCTACCTGAATGATTAGTAAAGTATATAATAACATACCTTCGGTAGAGAGGCTCAATAGTTATGTGAATGAGCTTGCAAATAGCAAGGGCTATTAGCTTATGTGAAGCTGCATAGTATGGAGGCATCTGATCCATAATGTTCTGTGCATGCTGCCAATCACCTATCTTTAACAAGGCTTCCAACAAACCAAGTTTTTGGTTGTCCGGTGGCTAAAAATGAATAGTCACAGCAAAGATATTTAGGGTACAGGCATCAAGAAATCATAATACTTTTTCACTTAAAAATTGAGCTAAGCAACACAATAACATACAGCAAAAATAGCTGCCATTCATGGGAAACTGAATAGTACTTTCCTGAGAGTACAATCAAGAATTTTGGCTACTGAAAAAAACAACAGGATTTGCTTTTTCACTTAGCAGAGACAGTCATTACAGTGTATGGACTTGGAATTAAGTTCTACTTAATGTTATACTGTGCCACAGGAAACCAGAATTGATCATCTTTGAGACTCCCTTTAGGATCTGAGGGACATTAAAACATAGAGCACAAATAAAGTCACCATATTTTATGATTTTACTTAGAATACAATTTGAAATTTATGTAAGAAAAAGATACGGCAGCTTCTCTTGAGAAAGTGTCATTCAGATTAAAAACAACAATGTTGCAAATGAGTATTCCAAAAATCAGGTTTCAGCATAATCAAAATTAAGAAACTGTGCTTCCATAAGCTGATTAACTATTACTGTGTTTCCCTGAAAATAAGACAGGGTCTTATATTTATTTTTCCTCAAGAAGATACCCTAGGGTTTATTTTCAGGGAATGTGTTATTTTTTTTAAGTATGGTAAAACAATCTACATTTATTCAAATATAGTTAAGTTGTCTTCTTCTGGAACATCCTAACTCTCCAAACCCCAAATTCTATCCTGAATTTCTTGCGACTTTATTTGCTTTAGAACCACTGGCCCCAGTCTCTCATGTCGAGCAATAGAGCTCTCACGGGGCAGATGAAAAGGGCTGCTCGTCTTTACTGCTCTGTGAGGAAATGGATGGGTTGTGCAGATATGCTGCGTAGCCACACCCATCACTAGGTCTTATTTTGGAGGTAGGGCTTATATTGCGCAAATGCTTAGAAATCCTGCTAGGGCTTATTTTATGGGTAGGTCTTATTTTCGGGGAAACACGGTAGAAGTTAAATTTCATAATTCTAAATCCAGAAGACAATGTTAATATTATTAGAATGAATTACATACCTTCTCTACTTTCTCCTCCTCTTTTTCCTTTTCTTTTTCTCGTTCATCCATTTTTTCAGAAGATAACACAACCATTGTAAGTTTTCTAACAATTTGCTTAGCTTCCACAATTTCTCGTTTGTGTTCATCCATAATGCAATTATCAGCTGGAAGAAGCTAAAAATGGTTCATTAAAATTTCATAAAGCAGCTATACCAACTACTTGCTATATAATAATATAAAAAGCAAATACTATCCTCAATTTATAAAACTATAAATAAGAAGTCTAACCTTTCTCTCAGTTATTATAATTCGACAGGGTTAAGTACCTGACTTTTATATATCTTTTAAAATCAGGTAGCAGTTTCATGTCTGACAGAGGTTCTAAAGTAATATAATAGCATAATGGTGATGTTTACCATTGAATTTGTTAGTTTACCCAAGAAAATATGCAACTGTTCCATTAAAAATATTTCCCCATTAAAGGCCAAACTCCAAATTTAATACAGTATTACATATGGATCCAAATTGGGAAAGGTAAGCTATTAAATTACATAGTAAATTTGAATCTTCTAAATGAAAAATTTAAAGTAGAAAAATTATTAGTGGCCAGGCGTGGTGGCTAATTGCCTGTAATCCTAGCATTCTGGGAAGCCGATGAAAGAAGATTGCTTAAGCTGAGGAGTTCGAGACCAGCCTGAGAAAGAGCAAGACACCATCTCTACTAAAAACAGAACAAAAATTAAGCCAGGCGTGGTGGTGCGTGCCAGTAGTCCCAGCTACTCAGGAAGCTGAGGCAAGAGAATAGCTTGAGCCCAGGAGTTTGCAGTTGCTGTCAGCTGGGCTGATGCTCTAGCCCAGGCAACAGAGAAAGACTCTGTCTCAAAGAAAAAAAAAAAAGAAAAATTATTAGAACTTGACATCTCACATTTTCTATGTGCCTATTTGACTTAAGTCACAAACTAGTTTCTAGTTTATTGCAAAAGAGAAAGTAACATGTGCATAGTCAACCCTCCATTATGAAAAAGGCTCAAGTATCTCAAGTATAGCCGCTTTGTATGAGTGGAAGATGATTAATGTAGACATTTCATAAAATAACCCAACACAAAGAACAATACAGCTAACAAACCATTACTTAGTAGTTTCTGCTAGGTACTATAATGAGCTATAAAAAGAAGTGTTCCTGCCCCCTAGAAATGTATAATGTATTTCAGTAGCTAAGTTTGATGCAAAGTAATCAATAAATAAAGAAAATACAGTGAAATATTAAATATTACAGACTTCATCCCATTCAGTCAAAAAAAGAGGGAGAGAGAGAAGTCACTATGGACTGTTCAGGAGGTAAGCAAGACTTTTTCTCATTCTGTATGATCTCCCTGGCAATCAAACATATTTTTTCTGGCATAGGTCCTCATCCTATATCTAGAGTACTACAACTGCCTCCAATGGGCAAACTGTATGTTTTTTTTCTTATAGTTCTCTCAATTTCTAATTCTGTATATTTTGAAAATATGTTATTAGGTGCATGTAAACTTAGAACTGTTTTATCTTCCTAGTGAACACAACCTTATTGTTATGACCATCTTTATCTCTTTGCCAAAAAGTCTAACTTGTCTAACAATAATAATTTCCCTACAATATTTTCCCTACCCCTTTTACTTTCAGCATTTTTTTTTGAGACAAGAGTCTCACTCTGTTGCCCCAGCTAAAGTGTGCAGTGACATAATCATAGCTCACTGCAACCTCAAACTCCTGGGTTCAAGCAATCCTCTTGCCTCAGCCTCTCAAGTAGCTGGGAGTACAGGCAGGAGCCACCATGCCCAGTTAATTTTTCTATTTTTTGTAGAGACTGGGTCTCACTCTTGCTCAGGCTAGTCTCAAACCCCTGAGCTGCAGCTATCCTCTCACCTCTGCCTCCCAGAGTGCTAGGATTACAGGCTTGAGCCACCACACCTGGCCTCAGCATTTCTTTAACCTTAAGTTTTAGCTGTGTCTCATATAAAAAATAAACTGGTTTGTAATCCCATCTAACAATGTGTCATCTTAACAGGAGCACTTAGTCTGCTTGCATTTATTATTAAACTCGAACATATCAGTAATAAATCTATCATTTTTATACTTTCCATTTGTTATGCCAGTCAACATTTCCATGTAAACTCCTAAATATGCCTTGAAATTCTCCCTTTTCTGATGAATTTTCCAGACTCTCAGTTTGTATACATTGCTTCTCTTCTTTAAATACGAAATAGCTCTCTACTCCCAAGAGAAAACTCAAGACTCCTTACTATGTCACTTAAGCCCTTCACAGTTTAGCCCAAATCTATTCCATCCTCAATCCCCTTATGTACCACCCTAGGCTCCAACCACTCTGAACTTCCTGATGTTAACCATCAGGGGATAATAAAGCCCTTTCAAGTCTCCTATCTTAATACTCAGTTAATTCTACCTACAAAATTTTCTACCATTGAAGCCTAGACAATTCCTACTTATCTATCAATATCTCCATTCCACATCACTAATTTGGAAAAGTCTTTCAAATCCCCCTAGACAGATATGGTCGCTATCTACCCTGGGCTCCCACAGCACTTTGTGAATACCTCCAATAGAGTACTTATGACATAATGCAAATTTTTTTTTTATCCTTTGCTAGGCTATGACTGAGATACAGTTTTACTCAACTCTGTAGCCACAGTATGCAAAGACAGGTAAGGAAGTTATAAAGTGATTCCAAAGGCAGTGAAGATGATGTGAGCGTTGGACAAGTTTAAGTTCATAGATATCCTAATGAAAAACTTAATAAAAGAAAAACTTCTAAAAGACCAGACATTTCAAAGTGATATAGCTAAATTATTGCTAAACTAGAGGTCATCTATCACAATCACAAGCTCTTCTACACATCCTGGATCCAGCGACAAAAGCACAATAGTAGTCATTTATTATTCAGTAAAAACACAAGAAAAATATTTTTAACATACTAAAAATAAAAATATACTAACAGTTCCCCATTCATCCTGAATGCCTAAATTAATATTTTAGAGAGAAAGAAGTAGTATACAGGTAATCCCATATTTTCCATAACTCATATATAATAGACAAGCCTAAAACTATGTTTGCTAGAACTTGGACTCACTCCCTATGACACATGATAACAGTTAAAAACTTGAGAACTTCATAGTCAACCATGAACTCTGTAAAGGTAACCAAAGGTATTTCATTTCTAGTTTGCCAAACAAAATAATTAAATTCATTTACTTTATAAAGAAAACACAAAGCAATAATGTATTAGGGCTTTAAAATGTATTTCATTTCCAGTTTGCCAAACAAAATAATTAAATTCATTTACTTTATAAAGTAAATGCAAAGCAATAATGTATTAGGGCTTTAAAACATAAGACTTCAGAACCTAGAACCAACCTTGGAGTGCAATATGGGTACCTATTCCTCTTCCCCACCCCTGGGATGGACAACCAAATATTCTTAGCAGCCCACTTGACTTACATGTACATAAAGATCATCTAAATCAATAAGATTAAATTGTAGAAGTACTGCTGCAACTCTGTATAAAGATGATGGAGTCTCACCATTTGGTTCCTTGAAAAATAAAAGAAAAGTTTCTATTTAGTGCAAAGTACAACAATTAAAACAATATCCTTTACCTACCAATAAATAAGAACCATTAGCTCAAATTCTCTAGGCTAAGAATAAGCTTTATTGCTCTTCTTTATCATACCAAACATCTGAATTCAGAACAAAGATTAGCATGTCAACATCCCTTTTCACATTGGACCATCTTCTGAAGAACACAAGGAAAGTAGTTTCAAAAATGGACACATTTTTAAATACATGTTAATATTTAAATAAAATAGATTTTATATTTATGCTGAATAATATTCAGTCTGTGTTTCTGTTTATATGCATGTTTTCTTGTTTTTTGAAGTAGTTCTCAGGGGAGAGGCAGATAGACAAGACTGACAAATGTGGAAATGCAGAACCATCTGCATTTGCTTTATATTTTCTCCCTATACTTTTTATTTCTTGGGTTTTATGCTAAGTATATCTACTTATCAACTGATCTCTCCTTCAAAAAAAAAAAAAACAGGAGTCCATACATATTATAGATGGATAAGTCAACATTTTTTAAAATATAGAATGACAAAGTCAATTCCAGGCCAGCCATGAGGACCCTACACAGAAACACAAGGATCTTTGAATGCTATCAATTTTCAAAGTTAATTTTTAAACTGTTGGGGTCAGATGAAAGCAGTGACAATACACTATGTCCTGATTCTACTCAATACTGAAAACGAGGCCTTTGTAGGTAAGGCTCTTCCCATAATTGTCATGGATATTATACACATAAAATATGAAGCTAACCAAACTAATACATATCATTTAAAGAAGGCATTGTTTCACTGTATTTTTTTAAGACAGATAAGAAGTCTTCAATTCGAAAATAATTTTTTTTTTAGACAATCTGGCTTTGTTGCCCAGGCTAGAGTGAGTGCTGTGGCATCAGCCTAGCTAACAGCAACCTCAATCTCCTGGGCTCAAGCAATCCTACTGCCTCAGCCTCCAGGGTAGCTGGGACTACAGGCATGCGCCACCATGCCCGACTAATTTTTTCTATATATATTAGTTAGCCAATTAATTTCTTTCTATTTTTAGTAGAGACGAGGTCTCGCTCTTGCTCAGGCTGGTTTCAAACTCCTGACCTCAAGCAATCTGCCCGCCTCAGCCTCCCAGAGTGTTAGGATCACAGGCATGAGCCACCTTGCCCAGCCGACAATAATTTCTTAATTCTAAATGTTTATAAATGGTTATTTAACATCAAAGCATTTTACACTAAAAACAAATGGTAGTCAGGGTCTCAGAGCAAACTCACAAAAGCTTATTTATCTTATTGACAACCTCTAATACCTGACTTGAATATACCAGGACCATTTTCATTATTCTATATCCTTGTTTAGATGAATCACCACAAGAAGCCCCAGACTCCCAGGTCAGAAGTCAACTCCCGCACTTTGATCCACATGTTGTTATGCACAATTCCTGTTCTGTCCTACCCTGCCTCTCCACATCCTTGAAACACTTCCATGGAATCCTCTGGAATTCCTAATCTATCCTCAGCAAAACCCCCTATATCCAGACCGCACCTTAAAGGTTCCCTTCCCCTTGGTGCTCAAACAGAGTCTGGCTCACCCTCAGAACACCACCACCACTGTAACCCAGTAAAATGATGGCTGTTTTCCTCAGATGCCTCACACTACCAGGTGATATAGAAATGTTCTTTGATTTGCACCTGTAATATCAGATACTTGAGAGGCTGAGGCAGGAGGATTGCTTAAACCCAGGAATTTGGGGTAGCAGTGAACTATGATAGTGCCACTGTACTCCAGCCTGGGTGACAGAGTGAGACCCTGTCTTCAAAAAATATTTTTAATTAAAGAAACCCTGGACATATTGAATATAACGTGACAACTATGGAAATCAAATTCTCTCCTCCCCAGGAGTCAGTGGATGCTGCTTGTTTTGAGTTGTTTGCATATCTATGACTTTTCTAAACTCTTTGTAAAGTCTGTATTTTCTGTCATGTGTGGACATTAAAAGCTATGTTCTGTTAGCTTAGTGGCCAACTATTATATTCAGTTTTCTTAAAGGCCTAGAGCAAAAAAGGGGGTGGGGGAGAAGGGGGTACACACACAGGGAGAGAGTAGGCGCACACACACGCAATAATGAGTACAAATATCCTCCCAGTCTTTGCAGACTGGCTCTGTATAGGTGCACTTCTCAATGTTTGGCCAGACCATTTACCACTCAGCCGTAGTCTTCACTTTCTGCTTGCTCAGAGCTTGAATAGCAACCAGAGGAGAAAGCTTAGGGTTGTCTCAGGCCTTTTCTAAGCATGTACCCAGTTCTGGGTACCTACACAACCTTCTTAATTTCCCAGTATATGTGGGAACTTTTTGAAAGCCCTCATTCCCCATGAGTCTCCTTTTCTAACATCTTCATTCTAAGGCTTTCCAGTCTATTATTTGTCTCAAATGTTGTCACTTGCTCCAAGCTGCTACAGCCTTGTAATACCTTTAATACTTTCGGCGAAAGCTGCCCCAGCCCTGGGAACACTCCCAGTCAAAAGAAACAAAGGCAAGCCCTTGTGGGAGTCCTTTGGGGAACAGCCAGATAGATCAATTCTTTGCTCCCTCTGGCATTAGCAACCTGCACCAGAGGATTTCTATCATCATGGCCACTCATCTGGGTGTAGGGGATAGTAGGCAGACAATTTAAAATGCCACAGCAGTCTCTTACTCCAAAGCAGTGGATTTATTCTTCCCAAGCCCTTTCCTTAGTGTTTTAAGTTTGTTGTTTTGTGTTTTGTTTTTACTATATTCTAGAGCTCTTCAAAGTTAATGTACAGTTTTTACCAGTTCATCAGTTGCTTTTAAGGAGGGACAGCACTCTCTAGTTCCCTCTTATGCCATTTTCAATGATGTCCTGCTGTTGCCATCCAGACCCCTGGGTTACTGCCCTCCATTTTGCAATGATCTTAGCTTCTAAGATCACTGTCAGTCTCTCCAACTCTACTCCTTCCTTAACTTTTGGAGATTTTCATATGCATGTAGGTGATCCTTCTACCATGTGGCCTCTTGGTTCTCTTGAACCCCTCTCTTCCAAAGATCTTCTCCCTTACTCTATCTCAACCACTCACTCCATATCCTAAGCCTTATTATCAACAGTTACAATTCCTCTATAATATCAATTTCATATATTTGGACTTAAGTAGGCCCTTAATGCTGCCGGCCAATCATACTCTATGTCATTCCCATCTGTTCATTCAACTATAGTCATACATTGATTAACAACAGGAATACATTCTGAGAAATGCATCTTTAGGTGACTTCATGATAGAGTGTACTTACACAAACCTGGAGAGTATATATACATAGCCTACTATTTGCATAGGCTATATGGTAGTTTCCTGTTGCTCCTAGGATACAAACCTGTAAGGCATGTTAATGTACTGAATACTGCAGGCAATTTTAACACAATGCTAAGTATCTGTGTATCTAAACATACCTAAACATAGAAAAGGTACAGTAAAAATACAGCATAAAAGATTTTTTTTAAATGGCACACCTGTGCAGGGCACTTACCATGAATAAAATTTGCAGGACTGGAAATTACTCTGGGTGAGTCAGTGAGTGAGTGAATATGAAGGCCTAGGACATTGCTGTATACTTTATAAATGCTGTACACTAAATTTATTTTTTTAATTTTTTTTTCTTCAATAATAAATTAAGTTAGCTTACTATAACTTTACTTAAATTTTTTTGTGTTGTCCTGGGCTAGAGTGCAGTGGCATCATCACAGCTCACTATAAACTAAAACTCCTGGGCTTGAGCAACCCTACTGTCTCAATGTCCCAAGTAGCTGGGACTACAGGTATGCATCACCATGCCCAGCTAAGTTTCTGTATTTTCTGTAGAGACAAGGTCCCACTATGTTGCTCAGGCTAGTCTCAAACTCCTGGCCTCAAACGATTCTCCTGCTTCAGCCTCCCAAAGTACTAGGAGTATAGGCATAAGCCACCATGCCCAGCCTACCTTATAAACTTTTTAATTTAACTTTTGATTCTTTTGCAGTAACACATAGCTTAAAACACAAACACACTGTAAAGCTGTACAAAAATCTTTATATTGTTAATCTATCAGCTTTTTTCTATTTTTAATTTTTTTTTTTAATTTTTAAACTTTTCTGTTAAAAACTAAGACACAAACACACACAGGAGCCTAGGCCTACACAGGGCCAGGATCATCAATACCACTGTCTTCCACCTCCACATCTTGTCCCACTGGAAGTTCTTCAGGGACAATAATGGGCATGGAGCTGTCATTTCCTATGATAACAATGCCTTCCTCTGGAATATCTCCTGAAGGACCTGCCTGAAGCTCTTATTAAGGAAGTATCATTCTTTTCAGAAATATGTCCATGGTGATTTGTTTGGTTTCTTTTTTTCATCATAGATTTGTTTATAAGCAAATAACACAAAATGAACATTTCTATTAATGAAAACCTTTTGGTGTTGGGTGTCCATGTTTTCAAACTTTCTAAGGAGTTTGCTGAGGTCTTCAAAAGCTTCTGCTAACCCCTTCCCTATGAATTTTCTTGGGGGGTTCTTCTCCAGCGGTTTCCTTTACTCTTGCCTCTTCTTCAGCTATGCACCCCTGTTCCATATTAATCTTATGAGACCACTGTCATATATTATCATATATATAGTGCTTTCTTGACCAAAACATCATCATTTGGCATATAACTGGACCTCCTACCTTTCTCCTAACCTCCAATACCTCCACTCTCAAACTTTCTCTTACCTGATGACCTTTGCTTTCTATTTCAGTGAGAAAATTAGATCAATTGGACTTCTACAAACTCCCACAATCACACCTATCTATCTACTAATAACTGTACCTACATATGCTACTTTCCCACCTCTTATTATAAATGAACTCTCTGTGCTCATATATAAAGTCAATTCAACCACTTAAGCACTAAATTCCATTCTCTCTATCCTACTCAAGAACACTACTCCAATA